TGGGGACGGGGCTAGGCCCCCTAGCATAATAACTAGTTTTCAATAATTAACACGACCAGGTATCCGTTAGCAAAGTCATTTATAGTTTTGTTAGTTTTATTAGTGTTGGTGTTACGATTTCGCAAAACGTTTTTAAGTGACATATATTTGTAATAAGCAGGTTTTTTGTTTCTTGGTTCGAATTTTCAAAAACCGGAAATTCCGCTGGCCCCGAAAAAATGTCTTATCTTCTGAAATTTGTGAATATTTTGAATTTAAACGATAGAATCATGTCAAAGCGGCATCGTATGCACATATATCACAACCAAGTTGTTGGACTAGTCGTAGGGCTCGCTAGGCATCATCCAGAGGTCAAAGGCTTGAGACTCTGTTTTGCCAATATTTTTTGCGTAATTCATAATTATGAAAACAAATTGGTCACGATGCGGTAGAACAGAGTCGATATTGCGAGCTTGGCAATGTAATCAGGCACGCTGGCCACTGGAATAGGAAGGAGTTCTAGTATAGAACTGGTTAAACTAAATATATTTCGAGGCTAAATGTTCCATGCCCCTGTCGGAAAAATTCAGAATAAAAAAACCCTGGTAATAAGTCGTGAACTTATTATCTTCCCCCCCTTGGCATGAGGCATATGAAGCCATAGAAAAGGAAGAACACATTGTTGTGTTAAGAGACCAAGAATGCTTGAAAATGCAACCTTTCTTGTCATGATTGGAAGTCTAGCGCGTACAGCATCATCGCTATATCCTCCAAGCAGAGTGAACGCAGCAGCCGTGAAGGTGATTGTCACAAGGAGAATGGCCACTAATGATGTCTTGATTATTTATTTTGGAGTCGGTGTATTTTTGAGAACCCAAGACAAACTGACAAAATTTCATCAAACCCTGAAGATCAGATCTGTGACTCAGCAATTGACATTATGCAAGCAATGGGCTGATCCACCTGCCACTTGCTGCCAAAGGTAAAACTCAGAATCTTTCTTATAAAATTGACACTGCTAGATTTTTGCTGTCGAACTCCAATCTGCTATTGCATTGGTCAAGAAGAGCATGCTCATGGACGGAGAAAATTAAACTATTATGCAAATTTAACTATTGAGGCCAGCCTTTCCTCTTTTTTTTGGCGATGAGAGGCCGCCCTTCCTTGATATTCTGCCAAATTGTTTTGCTAAAAATATGAAAGCAGCTAAATTGATGTATATATTTGCCGCTGCCTTGGTAATTATCCATTTCAAATAAGGGACAGTAGACTGGAGTTAAACTTTATCAGAGAAAGATTACACAAATGTCTCGAGGTAAACAACTATCAAGCACATTTACTTGTGGTGTGAAGATGGAGGATACACTCCCTGTGCCGCTGAGAAATGGCCGCAGTGAAGGAATGCAGGGAACTCAATGCTACAGCAGCAGCCCTACAAGTAAAAGCTTGGCCCTTTATTTTCTCATCACCTTTTCTTTTCTTTTTTGATGGGATTGATCACCATTTCTTAATTAGAATATATATACTCTAACATTAGGATGGTGCATGTATACTCTGTATCATCTTGTTAGTTGTGAGTCACCTGACTGGCCAGAGAGATATGTGGGTTGGCTGTGTACAACATGTGCAGGAGGCAATCACGCCCACCTTCGTCAGAAGCCGGCAAACTTGATGGTCGATCATTATGGTGACAGTGGGGCATGGAAAAGACAAGGTGGCATGTACCGCGATCACTAGGCAGTCCAGGAGGCGCTCGGCGTCCCACCGGCGGCGGGCATCGATTACACTACACTGTGGAAGGGTCAGGTGATTGTTTACAGAAACTGCATGCTGCCAACGCAAGTAGTTTTAATTACTGGAAGGAGGACCAGCTGCAGTCTCAACTCTGAAGGATTGCCGGGGCAGGGGAAGGTTAGTGTCGGGGTAGCGAAGGTACCTACAGGATATGGCTGGAATGAGGTGAAGCGGGGAGGTTCATAGGTACGTCTTCCAACTTGTTCAGGCCTTCAGGGACGCTAGTACAGTTGGATTCAGTTAAAACCTTGGTCCAGAAGAAGTGCTTATTATATATGCAGCTTTACTACTGTCCAAAAGATTACTTCTCCCCTTCATTTAAATTTGGCTGTATCATCTGATGGCAAGTTAATTAGTACTCTGCGCTGCGACTTTGTATCAAAATGCACGACGTTTTTTCGTTTAAAAACCGTCTTTACATTTTGATACAGAGGGTGTGAACTTGTACATAAATACTAAGCCTGCATATATACTATACCCGTGGCGGGCCATCGTCCTGCTCTGCTGTACCAGATGCAGTGCTAGTGAAGGAACCTGCAGCACACGGCTGGAATGAAGTTATCAAGGACGTTCATATATACGTTTGTCCAACTTGTTCAGAGATGCCAGTATGGTTTTGGTTCAGGTAAACCTTGTCGCTCAAGAGCAGACATAGCACGTACTCCCTCCATAAACAAATATTTTAATGATCTAAACGCTCTTATATTTCTTTACAGAGGGAGTACAAATGCTCATTGTCACTTTATAAGGTCCATTGAACATCCATCCTAAAATGTAGAACGGCGATTTACTCAAGAATGTGAAAACAAAATACTAGGCCACAATGCGGACCAGGATGTTTCTGGTGTTATAGAGGAAACAGCGAAGCGACCGACAGAAAACACCGAGTGCACTTAAGTATATTCAGCAATGTCTAGCTGAAGTGCCAGCTGAATTAACTGAATAAAATGCCACAAGGGACTTGACCTTCAAGGCTTCAACAGGTTCGTTACAGAGTAAATTGGGGGGAAAAAAAGTACTACCAGCATGCTAAACAGTAATGCTAGTAGATTAGGTCAGACCATGTCACGGAAAACAGAGCTGGAAGGTTGACACACCCTGTAATCGCCAAACAACATGGAGAACCAACGTTTACCCAACCAATAATTGAGCTTCAAGATAGGCCATTTACTTATGAGCCAAGTCAGACAAGGGCAAAAACCTACCAAAAGGCAAATCCCAATGGCCATCCAGTGGCGACGAGAAGATAGCACCGTGTATAAACCAGCTGCAAAAGCCGCAAGTGTTCCCATGTACGCAAACCAAGTAAGCCTCTTAGTAACGGTGATGTAATAACTTGTGAACCTATCATCCTCCCATCTTCCCATGAGGCATATGACGGCGACAACAAATGCAGAGCACATTGCTAAGGTGTCAAAGATTAGGAATGCTTGAAATGCGGCCTTTTTAGAAATGATGGGAATTCCCTCGCTACCGGGATCACTGTTGTATCCTCCAGGCAAAGTGAAAGCAGCGGTGAAGGTGATTGTCGCAAGGAGGATCGCCACTAATGACGTGTTTGTTGTGTATCTTTGAGTTGTTGACTTCCTCTCCTTTATCGATTCAATAGTTTCCTGTTGCTTAACCTCCTTGTGAAGATTATCTGAAGGGATGTCATCATCTTTGGGATCAGCTTTCAACATAAGCACCTGCACCTCCTTCTACAAGAATTCAAAATATCAAATTATTCTCCAAATTATTAACTCATGGTAGTGTATAATTAAAGCTTCATATGGTTAACAAAATAGCATATGAGCATACCCAGTCCAAATTCTTCTCGTGACTGGTGATGCCTGACAAGAGGGAAGCAGCGGATTCACCATGAGTGTCAAATATTGTTGTGTCTATACCCTTGCAAGACAATAAAGCAGCAACTGTTCTGGGATTGCACCTCTCGACTGCGTAATGTAGAGCGGTTCTTCCGCTGCTGTCTTGCATATTAACGAGACGCTGAAGTTGCGGTGTCTGGAGGATAAACTCAATAAACTTCGTATGGCCATTTTGTACAGCTGAATGAAGGCATGTCAATTCTTGATGGTGTACATGGCGATAAGGAGCATCTGGACAATGGTTAAGAAGCTCTCGAGCAACACCAACATGACCTCGAGTTGCAGCACTAGTAAGGAGAGTAAAACCTTGGTTGTTTACTTCATACCCTAATGAAATATCATGTTGCAGAAATTCCCGCAGCACGCCAACCTTGTTGTAACAGACGGCAAGTCTTATTGGAGTATCCTCGTTTGAGTCGGCTATTCGTGCTAGTTGAGGATGTTTCTTCATAATTTGTGCAGCAATAACTGAAAACAAATCGAGATTAATTAAAAAAGATGGTTAATAACGAAGTGGTGATGATTTAATAAGTTTTTGGCACAAAAAATGGCCTACTAAGAATTAAGTGAAACGGATTAATCAAAGAGAAAAGAGCAATTATGCAATATAAGATATATATTAGAACATGGTACTGTAAATCGTACTCCACTGTTGTCAAAATCTTACCTTGATCCCCATTTTTAGCTGCGGCATGAAGAGCATGGCGGCAAAAACCGCCCGCATGAGAAGAATCATAGATTTCCAGTAGTTGCAAGGCAATATCTCTAAAACCTCTCATTACAGCCATGAACATGGGTGACTCACGGTATATGTTTACATGGCGCGACAGAGCAGGCGCCGCTTCTAACAACTGTATTGCAAGGTCCATGGAGCCATTGCGGATGGCGTGGTGCAGTGCGTTAGATTTATCTTTGTCATGACACAAGATTGTGTCTTGCAGTCCTAGGTCATTGCAGCGTTTGAGTAAAAGAGAAGCCAAATTGGCATGCCCGTGTGCCGCAGCAATGACAAGTGGTGTCTCACCCTCGTGATTAACCTTTGAGAGGAGAGACTGGTCTACTTGCAGCGCCAGCATGCAGAATACAATGTGGCCATGAATGCAGGATATGTGGACGCATGTGTTCCCCGCTGGAGTTGTTCCACCAAGATCTGAGGCCATGAATACTGGCGTGGTTTCCGGGTCACTGAAAGCCGGAATCAACATCCTCATAGTGTCTGTCTCACCACATGTGGCTGCCTTCAGGAGTTCCTCGGCCATTGGTGGTTCTTGCTGCTGTTGTGCTTGAGCTGATGAACTAGCTATGTCTGTCATCGCCTCCCTTTTGGCCGGTTTAACTGCGGCTGTG